GTCTCTCTCCCTCTCCAACATATTGGATATATATAAATTATTGAAGAATCTTGGTATAGCACAGGCTGGCCTCCAACTCTCTATACAGCTGAGGATGACCTTGAATCTGATCCTCCTACCTTCATGTCCTGGGTGTGGGGATTACAAGTGTATACCATCATGCCTGGTTTTATTATGGTGCTGAGGATGGAATCTAGGGTTCCATGCATGCATTCTAGGCAAGCATCTGAAGGCAAGCACCCTTGAGTCAAATCCCCTTCTCCAAAATGCACCATATTTAAGATGGACTACCTTCCTATATCTTTGGCTAGTAATTCCAGGAAATATCTAGCAAGCACATCCAACTTGAGGCACAATAGTTATGAATGCAGCCTTACACAACATCATTAAAACTTAAAACACTGAAAATTGTTGGCTGTTTTTTTTAAAACTTGATCCCATGGTTCTTGAATATGAACTGTATAGATGACAATATTGCATTTGACACCAAAATGTTGGATTTGCTTAAGAACAAAACCATCTGGAGGCAGCCTAATCTGGCAGAAATAGTATCCATCTATAATTCAAGCCTGGCTTCTCCTACCTCTCAGCATCTGTGTGACCCTGAAGAAGTGACATCTTAGTCTATAGCCCTATAAGATGAAGTTGGCCTGGATAACAAACATCTCTATAAGGCTGGATACTGTGTCCTTTAAAAAGAGTGTCATCTAGATTCTGAATGAGGAAGGGCACCCGGAAACTATAGAGTCTCATTAGGTCTGTCTACAGCCTTCGAAAAGAGCTGGCCAACTTCTTAACTACGACTACTGCAAGGCACCTACACCCCTTGATCCAGAAAATGTGAGTCAGTATAGTGGAAGGCTGTGCTCTTGGGTTTTCTCTGAATTATCTATAGATTATGAAGTGAGATCTCAGAGTGGCAGGACACAGTAAAAGCCAGCTAAAGGAAGTCCTTGAGGGAACAGTCCAGTTAAGAAGGACCCTGGAGAAGGTTCAAGGAGGGCCCCGGGACCTGCCCTTTGGGAGGAGAGGGAGATGGTGTGTAGACACCCTTCTTATACATGTACTGATTTTGGCTTCTGCCTCTTGGACCTTGTCCTGAGGTGGTGGTTCTAAATGACTGCAGCTCAGTCTTGTCTTTGCTGGCCATGGTTCTGTGTAACCCAGGTGGTAAGTCAGCAGGCTCTGCCCGCCCTTTCTGGTATGTAGGCAGGGGTACCTAGGCACTGGGCCTTGACAGAGAAGATGATGATCGTCTTGACTTGAGGTCTTTTCCACAAGTGCAGGCCATTCTGTCCTGCCAAAGATATCGTTGCATCATTTCTGGGCAATCAAGGGGGTTAGAGTCTTAATTTAATATTGAAGAAACGTGACAGTTCTCAAAGAGGTGATCTAGATGAAAAGATTCATGAGGCCAAGAAAATAGAAAGGAAATAAAACCCACCAGGTCCAGTGGTAGGAAGCTTTCCTGTACATGGCCTTTGGCCTTTAGTGTCTGGCCTGGCCCAGACAGACCTTTTTTTTTAGTTTGCTGGTGAGGACAGCTGCTCAGTCAGGAAAGTCCTTGTCACTCATGCACAAGGACCTGAGTTTGAACCTGGAACCCACATAAAGCTGTGCGGGGTGGCACATGCTTATAATCCCAAGGCTGTGGAGACTTGAGACAAGCAGGTCCCAAAAAACTGCTTGCCCACCAGCCTAGCTCTAGGTCAATGGAGAGACACTATCTTAATAAACAAGGTATATTGTTCCAGAGGAAGGACTCGGGGGTTGATCTCTGGTCCTCACATGTGCATACACACAAGTGCACATGTACCCACACAGACACTGGCCGCTCAGTGCAAAGACTTTTGTCATGGGAAGTACGGTGCTTGATTCACATCTTGGACTTTGAGCTGTTCACTACAATCATCCCTCTTAGCCTCCTTCAGTGTGCTTGCTTGCAAAAGGAAACTAAAGTTTGGTCCCCAAACAATGTACATAAAAAAAATGGATCTTTTTTTTAAATGAAGCTTGACCACAAGGAAAGAAGGCATTACTACCCCGGTCTCTTGTATTGGGAGCCTCACTGCTCATCTTGACCGCCAGACAGCCTTGTCTCCTTGTATTCCTAGATGCCTTTCTTTTTCTGGTCCCTACACTGTACTACAGTACCTTCACCTTTAGCTCCTACCTTTATTCAAAAGTTGAGCTTATTCCTGTCCACTTGGAAAGCCAGGTCAGAACGGGCTGCTTCCCTGTTCAGCCCATTTAGCAAAGGACTGTTCTAGGGGCCCTGAGAAGACAGAGGGGGGCCTTATTCTCTAAGTGATGGTGGGAGTGGGGTGATACCAGGGTGAAAGAGGCATGTGGACCAACACCCTGACTTGAAGGCCAAGGACTGTAGGGGCTTGTGGGCCGAGAAACTAGGCTCAGGAACGAGCCTCTCTAAACTGCATGTGTCTCCGAGGTCAACGAGGCCAACTCGTATTTTTTCAAACTCACGGTGGATAAGCTGGAACTTACCCCGACTCAGGCTAAGATGAAGGTAAGGTCAGGGGAGCCTGAATTTCAGGGTAGCAACTGTTGGCTCTAAACATTCTGAGTAGTAAGACTTAGATACAAGATGTGGAGGGGGGGGCTTTCTCTAGAGGGAAAGACAGCAAGTAATTCTAAGGACCTGACTTCACTGTAGCAGTAAGTCCCACCCATGGAAACTTCCAGAACACTTTCTTTCCTCCTTTGCCAGCAGCATGACATTACATCCATGAATGAGATCCTACCTAGGCTTTATCAGGTGTCTTATCTTAGATCTCCCAAGCCATAAAGGATGCTTGGTAGAATTTGGAGTAGATATAAAGGACTTGTATTCACTCTTGTGTTTGGGTTTCTTCTCAGTCAAAAGAAGTCAAAGGCCTTGTGCTACTCAACCCCCAGAATCCTCTGGGTGATTCCTACAACCAATTGATGATGAAAGATTACCTGGCCCTTGCCAAGAAGTGTGTGTTCCACCCTATCACTTGTAGGCAAGAAATGAGAAGCAGAAATAGCTTACCCAAGATTACTCATTCTATAATACGCGTTGCATGGTTCCAGAAAGACCATTAAATGAAGGAGACAGGAGCCCCGTGTTCACCATTTCCATTTTACCATTTCCTTTCCAGCCTTGCCCCATACAGACGTTTACCTAGTCATTAGAATGTTGCTTTCCCACTCACACCACAGCAGAAGCACGTTACCGCAGTATCTGTTTCCAAACCACCTGGACTGCGGTACCAAAAAACGACAGATGCTGAAAGACAGGTTCCCTTAGAACTTTCACAGCTCACTGCTAAGAACATGATAGCAACAGTTGCCTCCGGAGTCCTGCAGTACTCCTGCTAGGACAGATAAACCTGGATGCAGGAGTCGAGAACTCGGCAGAGCTGAGTGCAAATCCCAGCTGCCTTGGTTGTTTCCTGCTGCTGTCATAACATGTGAAAAGGAAGGAAGGATTATTTGGCCTCATGGTTCCATCATGGGTACAGCTCATCATGTCAAGGAAGACATGGTGGGAGGAGATTCTAGCAGCTGGTCATGTTGGGATCTGTGGGATATAGAGAGCAAGAGTGGTTCTGCTTGGCTAGTGACTCCACCTCCCACCCCAACCTGCTAGTTCAGGATTCAAGACCAGAAAATGGGACCACCTGCTTTAGGGTGAGTCTTCCTACCTCAATTAACCTAAATGGGGTAATCCCTCACAAGTGAGTCCAGAGGCTGGTGTCTTAGGTGATTCCTGTGAAGTTCACAATTGGTGTTAACCATCGTATCACCTGAGCCCTGGGACCCTACTAAGTTGAAGGAACTGACTTCCCATCTTAGAACCTTCACTTCCATCTGTGAATTGGGGGGTGATGGTGTTGTGTCAGAGGGTTTTTAAAACCTGAGGATGTGAGTGTGCTCAAAGCCCACTTGGTGCTGTGACTTAAGTTTGGACCCTGGGTAGCAGCTGCTGTCACTGATGTAAACATCTGGATAGCTTTTCCTCTCCTCCCATCCTCTGCTTGATATTTAAAGGGTTAGATGTGATCTCTCAGAGGTCCTGTTCCCTCTCTGTACCACCAGCCAGAGACACCTTGTGTGCCACCTCTTTGTACATTATAATGCCCCTTGGGAAGTAGAGTAAGCCACTGGAATAATAGGAGTATATGATCTGTATCCAAAACAGGAAGGAGAATGAGTTAAGATTACAGAGAGAGGTGGGCATGGCGGTAGTGCACGCCTTTAATCCCAGCACTCAGGAGGCAGAGGCAGGCAGATCTCTGAGTTTGAGGCCAGCCTGGTCTACAGAGTGAGGCCCAGAACAGCCAGAGCTGTTATAGTGAGACCTTGTCTTGAAAAAAAAAAAAAAAAACCCAAACACAAAGCAAAACAGAGCTGACCAGACGGCTCAATGGGTAATGGTACTTGCTACCAAGCCTGATGAACTGAGTTTGATCCCTAGGATGTACATGATGGGGGTGGGGGGGGGGACGACGACGGGGACAAAACTGATTCCAACAAGTCCTTCTCTGTCCTCCACCCATGAAGCACATGTACACACATATACAAAATAAATATAATCTTAAAGATTTGCAGATAGAAGGGCTGGAGAGATGGCTCAGAGGTTAAGAGCACTGACTGTTCTTCCAGAGGTTCTGAGTTCAATTCCCAGCAACCGCATAGTGGCTCACAACCATCTGTAATGAGATCTGGTGCCCTCTTCTGGTCTGCAGTCATACATGCTGTATACATAATAAATAAATAAAAAATTAAAATTAAAAAAAAGATTTGCAGATAGAAACTAGATTCATTCTTTTCTCTCACGCAACTACAGTCACAGCCTACATGTGATCGTAGACGAGATTTACATGCTGTCCGTGTTTGATATAGCCGTCAGATTTTGCAGTGTTCTGAATATGAAACGGTAAATCTGTCCCCAGTTGTGTTGGGAGCAAGAATCATGAGGTTCCTGCTTTGTAAGGTGAATTCATGAAGTAGGAACTTGCCTGGCCATGTACTGGGGAATGAGGCAAGTGTGTGTATGGACAAAGTGTCCTCTGCCCTCCCGAGTACTGACTCCAGATGCCATTCTGGGTATGAGTGAATGCTAGAGCAAGGCAGCAAGTATATGGTTAAAGGTCGAGGGGCGGTGGGTCAGTCAGTAAAGTGCCTGGCGTGCAAGCATGAGGATCTGAGTTTGAATCCCCAGAACCTACGTAAAAGTCCAGCATGGCAACGTGCATCTGTGACCTTAGAGGTGGTGAGGGGCTAAGAGGCAGATCTGGAGCTCACTGGCCAGACAGCCTGGTTGACTTGAGGAGCTTCAGGCTCAGTGAGAGACCTCGTCTGCGGTGGGGGAGGTGGAGAGTGATCTAGGAAGACACCCAGTTTTAACCTGTGGTTTTCACACCTGTATGCATGCATGCACATGGGTGCATGTGAACGTGCGCACACACATGTGTACATATGTATGTATCAGGGAAAGGCCCGGGATGGTCAGAGCAGGTACTTCTTCTCCACACAGCATCTTGCTGCGTAACCCAACCAGGCCTCAAAGTCTTTAATTCTCCTGTCTCCACCCCGCCTCCCCCTGCCGAGTGCTGGGAATACATGTATGTCCCATTGTGCCCCACACAAATTTGGGGGAGAGGGTGGGACTTGACGCTAGGGATAGGATTTCATCAAAGCAAGACATAGGCATACTGGCTAGAAGGAACAGATTCACCAGAGGCAGGGCAGTGAGAGAAGTGAGGATGTGAGAGACAGTGGGCAGCTGATACCTGGAAGGGCGGCTGCCAGGGAGGTGGTTTCGGACCAGACGGAGCAGAGCCACAGTCAGGCTGAGGGTTCTGGACTTCAGTGGGTATTGAGCACTGCTCTGCGTGGGCTTTTCAGGGAGATCTTGTGTTGCCTTCCTAGCTTAGCTACCACCCATCTCTTGGAACTGGGCACCTTAGACCCTGTCTAGGAGGAACCTAAAGTCCACTTCCTTCTTTCTATCAGAGGTCATTTATGCATCCTTCAACCATTTCCCCCTAACCTTGATTTTTTTTTTAAATCCCTTTTCCAGCTTGCCTGACCCTAGCAAGACCCATATGATCTGGGGCACCAGTAAGGTAAGCCCCAGCCACCTGTCTTTGAGTCTGGAAGGAAGGGAAGCCAGGAACAGAAGGCAGGAAAAATTAGATGTTCCTTTTCCAACTTCTCTTCTTCCAGGATTTTGGCATGGTTGGCTTCTGCTTTGGTGTTCTCTATACACACAACAAGGAGAGCTTTTGGCTACCTCCACAGTATCTCTGGCATTACACAGTACAAGCTGTGCCAGCTGCTCCAGGACAAAGGTAATGAGCAGCACCTCTTGACCGGACTTCATGGCCACGGAGATGGCTGGGTTTTCTGGGGTCTCTACCATTAACTTGATACACTTGAGGATCTGTTCACTGTCTGAAGTTAAACTGAGGAGATGTGAGGTTTGGAGGAAGGCAGGATACAGCTCAGATAGTGAGCACATGGGCATGGCTGGAAGATGGAGAGCCTGTTCCAAACCAGGCTGGGATTTGATTCTTAAAGTCTATTAGTTTTTGTTCTGCTTAGAAAAGCACCACTTGTGAATGGCTCCCTAAGACCTGAAAATAAGAACTCAGGCATCAGTCAATCTTGCTTTTCCCCTTTGAGACGGGGTCTCAATATGTAGCCTTGGCCTGGAACTCACCATGTAGACAGGCTGGCCTTGAACTCAGTTTCGCCTGCCTCTGCCCCCCAAGTGCTGGGACTAAAGGCACACACCACCTGGCATAATGAAAACTTAAAAAAATAACAATGCAGACGTAAAGGTTTTCTACAACCTCTTCAGGTCACTTTTCTTCTGTCAGTTCTGAAAACACT